ACCAATCCTACTCAAACTATTCCAAAACATAGAAAAGGAGGGAATCCTCCCTAACTCATTTTATGAAGCAAGCATAACCTTGATACCAAAACCAGGCAAAGACATCACTCAAAAGGAAAATTACAGACTAATATCCCTCATAAATCACTCCTCAGAACAAAGGTTGGGCAGTCTACTTCTGTAGTGATACTGCCTCGGCAACCCAAGGAGGGGCGCTATGAGTCGGGGTCGATTCGATGGCATATAACAACAACAGCATCCCTCATGAATATAGATGCAAAAAATCTGCAACAAAATCCTAGCCAATAGATTCCAACAACATATCAAGAAAATCATTCATTATGACCAAGTGGGATTCATATCAGGTATTCAAGGATGGTTCAACATTAGAAAAACAATCAACATCATCCACATAAATAAAACAAAGGAAAGAACCACATGATCATATCAATTGATGCAGAAAAGGCATTTGATAAAATCCAACATGCATTCCTGATCATAACTCTCAGCAAAATAGAAATAGAAGGGACATTTGTCAACATAATAAAGGGCATCTATGCAAAACCAACAGCCAACATTATTCTCAATGGAGAAAGACTGAAACCCTTCCTCTTGTGAACAGGAACCAGACAAGGATGCCTGCTATCACGACTTCTATTCAACATTGTGCTGGAAGTCCTAGCCAGGGCCATAAGGTAAGAAAGGGAAATCAAAGGCATGCAAATTGGTAAGGAAGAAGTCAAACTATCCCTATTTGCTGATGATATGATGCTACACCTAGAAAACCCAAGAGACTAACTGAAAGATCTCAAAAATAGTCTCAAAACTCTACTGGAACTAATTGAGAGATTTAGCATCATGGCAGGATACAAGATCATCATCCAAAAATCAATTGGATTCCTCTACACCAGCTAAGCGATTGCTGAAAAATAAATAAGGAAATCAATACCATTTACAATAGCTACCAAAAAAATAAAATAACCTGGGAATAAATCTTACCAGGGACACAAAAAACCTGTATAAAGAAAACTATAAAAAACTTCAAGAAACCATAAGAGATCTACATAAATGGAAGAACATACCATGCTCATGGATAGGAAGATTAAACATTGTGAAAATGTCAATTCTACCCAAAGCAACCTATACATTCAATATAATCCCAATCCAGATCCCATCTACATTCTTTAAGGAATCAACTCTACAGCACCTGCTTTTTACATTATTCTTCAGTATGTACAGTAAAACCTGCAAAAGCTGGATCTGTGTAAAACCGGAACCATCCGGAGAAGGAAAATTAAAATATTTTCCAATAAAATGAGTGATAAGATAGCTTCTTGTCAGAGGTGGAAAATTTGGGAGACCTGGAAAAGCAAAGTAGTCCCATCAAGTTCTGGCTGTCATGGATTTCACTGCATCTATTGCACTCAGAATTGGAGGTATAATGAAAAAACATGTACTTAGGAGTCAGAGTTCAGTTCCATGCTCCTATTTACCTCTCCTTATTCTGCTTATTGGGAGCTCTGGTAGCATAGTGGCTAAGGCACTTGACTGCTAACCAGAAGGCTGGTGGTTCAAACCCACCAGCCACTCCTCGGAAGGAAGATGGGGCAATCTACTTCCGTAGTGATAGTGCCTCGGAAACCCAAGGAGGGGTCTGACCTGATGGCACATAACAACAACAACAACAACAACAACAACAACAACAACAACAATTCTGTTTATTTGGTATATGCTTAAAGGGTTCAAGCTAATGTTAGGTTATAAAAAGCTGGGAAGATTAAGCTTGATGTATCATGGATTTGAATCCTAGTTCTGCCTTTTATTAGGTAACAACCTTGGTAAGTTATTTAACCTCTTAACCTTGGTTTCCTCATCTATAAAATGGAAATACTAGTATTTTCTGTGGTCGTGGTTATAAGATTTAGAAATGAATAAGTAATACAGAGTTCAAATTGTAGTGTGTAGTTTACAAAGCACTTTCATACTTGATTTGTGAGGAAGTAGATACTTTTCTTCCTGTAGCATTTCTAATACAGAGAACTTGTTAGAACCCCTAAAACTTGTCTTGCATCCCCTCATTTGCTCAAGCAAAAACCTATGTGTACTCTTTGATTCCTTTCCTCTTTTATCCTTACCTCCACTCCAATTCCTAAACTAATCATGATTTGAATAACTTCTGAATTCATTATGTTGAACCATATGAAATTGCTGATGCTTGACAGTCTTAGACCTATACATCAGCAGTTTCATTGGTGTGATCTAAATATCTGTCTTCACCCAAGCCATCTTATGTGTCTAATAGCCATCTAAATGGACTTTTCTGTTTCTGTTCTTCTCCAGTCCATTCTCTTGAAGCATAAATAATATATTTTTAACTACTCACTGAGTCAGAATCTGGCCCTTATTTGAAACCCTTTGGGGATTTCCCCTTGAACTTATAAATCATACTTTTTATCATGGCTTTCAAAATTGGGAATATTTACAATATGATCCATTGGCATACAGGAAATATTAGAACTTCGGTGCATTTTTTAAAATCCACTTTTTTAAAAAAAAATGTGTGTACTTATTTTACAGTGTATTTATTATTAATACACAGTTGGTATGCTGGTCATGATCTGAAAGGTTTAGGCCATAGCTATTAGGGTACTTATGTTTTAATTAAATACTCAATTATTTTTGGTCAAGCCAAATTCTATATATATTCTTGGATGCTTTTTTTTTTTAAAAAACTTTACCCCCACATCCACACATTAGATCCTTGTGATTATCTCCAAAATACCTTTGGATCCATTTCTTAGGTTACTTGAGCACCTTTCTCTTTCTCCAGATTATAAACGTTTTGTAAACAGATACTGTTTTGTCTCTTTTGGTAACCTTGGGACTTAGGAATTAGTACCTGAATAAACATTTTAATTTATATACTGAAGTACTCCTGCAAAGTAAATAAAAATATTGACTTTCTTAAATAATGGGTAAAATACATTTGTTCCCAAAAGAAGAGAATGTTTGATCTTACTATTAAAAATTTTGAATATTAAAACTAACTCTGAAAATTTTATTCTAACAGGCAATCCACTTCGAAGACCCAAGTCTGTACTTCATCGTGATTTAGGCAATTCGGATAAGGGACAAGTAAATCTCTTTACATTTTTATAAATTGAAAGATAAATCAGATTTGAAATTGATTACTGAGTTAACTAACTTAAATTTCTAAAGCATGTATACTTAATGCCAAACACTAGTCATAGAATCCTATGATATTAAAATTTGGTCTGTCCTTTAGTATAGATGAGAGAAGTCTTATCTTTATAGGCTACCTCACCCAGGGAGCCATTTGAATCAACAAGATTCCCAGATCCTGAATATAAAGAAGAAAAAGAAGGAATTCAGGGAGAAATCAATCATCCTGATGGAAAGGTAAAATTTTTCTCTTAATAATGGATGCTGATTTTTTTAAAAAATGGGATAAAATTAAGTGGAAACACTTAAGATTCTAAAATAATTTATACTGTCTGGTGGCATAGTGCCTAATGCATTTGACTGCTAACCAGAAGGTTGAAGGTGCAAACCCATCACACGCTCTGTGGAAGGAAGATGGGGCAATATACTGCCATACAGATTTACTGCTTAGAAACCCATTGGGGGTCGCTATGAATTGGAATTGACTCAGTGGCAGTGGGTTTAGTTTTGAGTTTTAATGGCAGTTAAGAACTTCATATTCTTGTTAACGTACCTTGGGGTATGATGTGGGCTTGATTGTACTACTACAAAAATGTTTAATGCCCAACATGCATTTAACTGTCATTTCTAGTTTAGAGATGTAGCAAAAGAAGTATGACACTTCATTTGTTTTAACTCTTTAGTTTTGCTTTATACATAGCTAAGAAGCTTTTAGTAATCTTGGCACTTTAAAAAAGTTTCAGTGCACTTTAAAAGAGCTTTCGTTCATTTGAAGTCTTATCCTTCCTGATGATTTTTGTATGTTTATCCTGATTCAGATCTTTCTTTCCATATGTAGGCTGCACAATTTTATTCTTGGTTCTTAGGAAAGTTTTTGAATGGGAAAACTGCCTGGGTAGATGTTCCAGGTAGAAGAGTAGAATGAAAAGGCAAGGGAGCATACACTGGGTTTGTTAAAAGGGAGGTGCAATACTGAATTGTTTCGTCAGATTCATGAAAAAATTTACTTTTTCAGATACTCAAATTTGATTCATTTTAATTGAAATTATAAGACCAGAGTCCAAATTTGGATAAAGAACAGTCAAAAGGAAGCAGTTAGGCTTTTTCTGTTCAAACTCTTCTTAATGGTAACAAAGGTTAATAAGAAAAGTTTTTAGAAAAATTCCAGTTAATAAATGGGACAGGAATTACAAAAATCACCTGTTTGTAACCTCTAATGGAATAAAGAATCTACGCAACAGTCATCAGTAACTATTGAAATCATTAAAGGAAAGATTGAAGAGGGCTTCAGCTGACATGACCCAAGTCCATTAACAATAGGACAGTCAAAGACTGTGCTGCTTAATGTGTTGCAATAAGAAGTACATAGCGGCACCTATGAAATATTCTTTTTTTTTTAAATTGTGATTTGGGTGAAGGTTTACAGAGCAAATTTACTTTCCATACAGCGGTGCACATATACTTTGTCTCATGACATTGACCACAGTTTACCACAATGCAACAGCTCCCCTCCCACTTCCTCCCCATAGTTACCTCTTCCCTGT